CAAACGTGCCATTGGTTTCTCGTAGAGAATTCCCATAAATATCATGGTTTGATAATAAGCTGATTGCTTTACCGTTGCACTAAAACATCACTATTTTTTAACAGGTATTTAACACTTATGTTGTACTTTCTATCCCATAGAACCTATCCTATAGTACTTCCAATCTGGGATTTCCAGCTGAAATCAATGGTCATTCTCTCCATTTTTCCAGTTGTTCTGACCAAAATCTTGGCTGTATTAACTAAAGTTTTCCTTTACCATTTCTCTTCCAACCATACGGACGATCCTGCTTATATTAAAAACCTACCTATATTCTGAATCACGATCTCCATCGCTCCCACTGAAAGTACCTCACTGTTATCTCTTACCCATGACATTACTTTAGCAGACTTTTTAACAGAAGAAAGAATTCTTTCAAAATATTATAAATTATATTAATAACATGCTCAGACCCTACAGCAATCCATATCTCTCAAAGTTGAATCCGATGCCTCTAATATCGCGCAGAACAACACATTATTTTCCTATTTATTGTATTTTATCATCTCGTAAACTCCTCTCCTGCTTTCTTACCTCCACATTAACTTTGTATCGGCCTATGACAGGGTCATCTTGCCTCTGGACCTTTGTATCAGCTATTTAATGCCCACAGCATGCTTCTCAAAGATGCCTACAAGTATAATTCCCCCATCCCTTTAAAGTTTTTATTCAAATGTCAACTTCTCAATAGAGCCTACTCGATCTCCCTATTTAGACTTTCAATCTGCTAGCAACCCACCTTATAAAGATTTAATATTTGAAAATTGTGTGTGTGGGTGTGTGCACCCACATGTGGGTGTGTGCACGTGTGAACAGGTTGCCAGGGAGGCCAGGGGTGTTGCATTCCCTGGAACTGGAGTTACAGGCAGTTCTGAGTGGTGTGGCTGCTGTCCACATTCTTACTTCTGAGCCATCTCTTCAGCCCCAAACTGACGTAAAATATAGTCATTATCGCCTCACACTCTAGATACCTGCTGATTTTTAGTGTATCACTTGCTGCTTGCATCTCCCTGGTTGGACATAAAGTTATGAGGATTTGAACCATTACCAGCTCTGCTCAGTGATGAGGCCCCAGCACCTAGAAAAGCGGGTGCCCAATCAACACAGAGTGAGAAAACATCTAAACTCTCCAACCGTCTCACCACACAGGTGACTGGCACCCTACTCGTTACCCTCATCACCCGCAGGACTAAGTCTCTCCTCAGGGTTTTCCCAGTTCCCTACAGCCCTATCACTATTTTCTGCAGGCTGGCTAAGATAATTCTTCTGAATCCTCCAATTTCAAAGTTGAAAAAAACCATCCATTGTTCAAAGTAAAAAATAAAAAAAAAACAAACAAACGAAACATTATCTGGCCCAAGACCACCTCTCCAACTTCTGTGTTTCAACTGAGCCAAGAATGTCCTTAATGAGGCTCACTGGAATGGTGATTAACGTGGGGCTTGATACACAGTAAGTACAAAACATTTGTTGACCATTATTACAACTGGTATTTGAAAAATAGCATTTGGAAGCTAGTATTTCCTTTTCCCTCCAAGTGAAAAAACAAACAACAAAACAAAACCTAACATTCTGAAAGAAAGGTATAGGGTTGAAGAAATTATCCACAGGTTCTCAGGATGGAGTCTCTACCTCTCTACTCCCTGCCTCTAGTATGTTTTCAGGGGCTCAAGCTCTTGTTCTGAATCGTCAGTCCTGCCATGGGATTTGAATGAATGCTGTTTCCTATTCAAAGAGGAAGTTAAAATCATTCTGTGTAGAAAGAAAGGGGTTTTTGATCCTACTGCACGTATTGGCTTTGTGGGAGCCTAGGCAGTTTGGATGCTCACCTTACTAGACCTGGATGGAGGTGGTTGGTCCTTGGACTTCCCACAGGGCAGGGAACCCTGACTGCTCTTTGGGCTGATGAGGGAGGGGGACTTGATTGGGGGAGGGGGAGGGAAAGGGGAGGCAGCGGTGGGGAAGAGACAGAAATCTTTAATAAATANAAATAAATAAATAAATAAATAAATGTTAAAACCTAAAAAAAAAAAAAAAAAAAAAAAAAGAAAGGAAGGGGCATTCTCCCTTTTCTGGTCCTTCTGGGCCAGCACCCATTCTCAGTCTCTTTTTTCTATTCTCTTCCCCACATCCTAGGAGGACTGACTTTAAGTGACTGCATGTCATTTTCCAGAGCCCTGCCAATGGATCCAGATTGTCAGTTTTAATCATCATTATAATTCTTGTATGCCAGATTAGAACTCTTAAAGATGATTTTAAAGTGAGATGGTTAATATTATGTGTTGGGAGCAATGAGACCCCAGAACCTGAATTTCTTGTAATCCCCTGATCTGAGTGCCTACAGCTGCTCTGAGCACGAGACCTTCGGGAGTTCCTGATGGTAGGAGAGTGGTTTCTGGTGGGTTTGGCTGGGGCGTGACTATCTCTATATAATCTGCCCCTGAACCCAATGAAGGGGGCATTCTTGGGGAATTCAAGGGTAACCCGTGTCGCTGTCTCTCTGTCTGTGTGTGTCTGTGTATTTTAACCTCCAGCCCCTTGCCTGAAGCTCGCAACTGGGTAATAGTGCACTGAGCGCAGACACGGGGGCGCCGTGCGCGGCAATTATGTGTCAACTTAACTAAGCCATGGGGTACCCGGAAGTTTGGTAAAGCCCTATTCTGAGTATGATAATATTTTTGGTTGAGATGAAACTCTGAGCTGATAGACTGTATACACCAGTTTTCTCTTCTAATTTAACACTGAAGCCAACCTATTAAAGGCTTGATCAGAACAAGAAAGCGGATTGCTCTATCATTGTCTTAATTAAGGGCTATCAGTTTTTCCTATCTTTGGCCCTGGACTGAAATATTGGCTCTCCTGAGTCTCTAGTGTGCTGAGACTTGTCAACTTCCACAACCATGTGGATCAGTTATAATTTTTCTATTTATCTGACTCTGTTACTTTTTTTAGATAAAAGTATATAAGTAGATATATGGACAGATACATGACAAGGAAAAGATATATAGATGATAGATGATTAGATAGATAGATAGATAGATAGATAGATAGATAGATAGATAGATAGATGATAGATAATATACATACATATATGCATACATATATATATACACACACACACACACACACATACAAAAATCCTATTGGTTCTGTTTCTCTGGAAAACCAATACCCAGGGTTTGGGCAATGCATGGCACATGTGCCCTTAACACTCATATTAGACACCATTTTCACTCAGTACCAGCTTCCCTTCTTAATACAACCCTTAGGAAGTTGAACATTAACAGAGCTGGGTTCACTGGTTAGCTCTCTGACTTCTGGCCCAGGACTCTTTTCATTCCCTGGCAGACCACATTTACCTGGCATGTCTTTCCCCAGGCACTGCAAACCTTAAAGACTCTGAACATGAAATAGGATGAATGCTTCTCAGGACACAGGCTATATCCCAAGTTCCAGGAACTGATTATTAAATAGTGCGCCCCTGTTCACCTACAGGGAAGCTATGTGGCATGAGAAATGCAACTTAATCCGCTCATCATTCAAGTGCATAGATTTAAACTTTTCCAAAAAGGGATTCTCTGGGGGTTACCTGTAAAGTGCTTATTGTACTTTTCAATATCCAGTAATGCTTAAAAAATGATTTGAAACACTTGCTAAGGCAGCCTTTACATTATTGTCATAAATGCGAGAAGCTACTGTGAGTTTTGCGGAAAGAGATGAACTCCAACTCTGAACACAACAAAAAAAGTGGGGACTTATAGCCAAGGAGTTGGTTGATGAGGCTCAGTGGACAGAAAATTAGGAAGAGGAAACGAGAGGAGCAAGAGGGATTCGAGCTGAGTCAACTTAGCAGGATTCTTGCAGAAGACAAGCCAGGGCAATCAGACACAACCTGGGGAAAGTGAAGGAGAATGTGACTGATCCTTTACTGAGGTTAGGGATGCTAGTTAAACCAGCTTATCAGCATGCCTGCTGACACTGAGCAATGCACAATTGGGCAATGTGTTGCTCAGAATTAGCTGTTAACCTGACCGAACTTGGGATCACCAGCAAAAAAGCCCTCTGGGTATATCTGTGGGGGGTTATCTTCAGTACTTTAACTGATGTGGGGAGATCCATCCCAGTTGTGAGCAGGAGTTCTGGAATGTGGAAGCCAGCAGAGATGACTGAATCGTAGTGTGCATTAATTGTTTTCCTTTGACTATGGGCATTGTGGGATTTGCTGCTTCAAGTTCCTACTGCCTTAGTTTCTCTGCCATGATGGTATCTTAAACTGTGGGCTAAAATAAGCCATTTCTCCCTTAAGTTGCTTCTTTTGGGGTACTTTATTCACAGATGCTATGATACTATACATAAGTGACCCCCAAAAACTCTACCAAGGAACTCCCACAGCTGATAAATACCTTTAGTCAAGTGGTTGGATACAAGATTAACTTAAAAAATATCAGTAGTCTTCCTATATAAAATGAGAAAAGGACTAAGAAGGAAATGAGAAAATAACACCCTTTACAAAAACCGCAAATAATATATCTTGGTGTAACTCTAACCAAGATATATTTTAACTTTCATCAAGCAAGTGAAAGATCTGTATGACAAGGACGTCAAGCCTTTGACGGTATTTTATCATAGCACAGCAAAGAAATTAAGATAGACATGGAAATCCAAACTTTGGTGCCTAGGGGTTCCTGTGATCTAAATACCTTGTGCTCATGCATGAAATTTCTAGAGAATAAATAAATAAACTTTAAAAAACACATGGTCCAATGGGAAGATAATTCAGAGGACCCTGACTAACATTTGGCCAAGGTGAGACTCTGTCAGTAGACATTTAGAAACATGACTCAGGCTGCTGTCGGAATGTCTATTACAATAGCTACCCAGCTTAAAATTGTTTGTTTATCTAGCATGGCCCAGTAAAGTTGATGGACTGATAATCCCATGGCTTCTGTGTAGATACTCACCACATCAACTATGCCGATGTTGTTCCAGCCTTGCATTATGGGGAGAAAAGATATAAGCATGGGAATGGCCCAGCAGCCTCCCAACATCAGTGCAATGCGGACAGGGGTCATCTTGCTTCTGTAAACCAAGGGTTGGCAGCAGATGGCATAGTACCTGGAGGGACAGTGAAGGGAGGGGTCATGGGCAATGAAAGATGAGGGGGAGAGGGGAAAGATAATAATAGATGGGGGAGATGAGGAAGAAAGGAGAAAGAAGGATGGAAAGAAGGGGGAGTATTGGGAAAAGGAGGATTGGAAGGAGAGGAGAGAGTGAAATAGGAAAGAGAAGAGAAAAATTGAGAGTAAATGGAGGAGCAGGTGGTAAAGGAGTAGAAAGAAAGGGAAGGAAAGAGAAAACACAATTAAACAATAAAAATAATAGCACATGACATATACTTCTGTTAATTTATAAATATGCTTTAAATGAAGGTCATTGCCTTGAGTTGGCTCCACATCCCTCTTCATCTCCCAATGTCTTAATCAGCTTGACCTCATGAAGGTCTACTCTACCTCAGACACAGATCCACTTTCTGAGAACTGAAAACCTCCTCAAGCCCTCCAGGCCCCTGCACACAAGTACCTTTAGCCTCTGTGACTATGATTCGACCTATTTTACCCTTGCTCTCTCTTCCTCTTGATGGCTGCACTGAGATGTACTTGTATGTTCCCTAAATTGGTGTCCAGGATTACCCTTCTCCCCTTCCCCTGCAACAGATTTAGCCAATTGGGGCCAATGCAGACCCCAAGGGTCTCCTGAATCACAGCTTTCTGGGAAGCCACCTGGAGTGTACATTTTCACCAGCAAGTCAATTCTACCTTCAGGTAAGTATCCCTTACTTCCCCCTTAGAGGTGCGTGCACCTCCAGGTTTCCCTGTTAGCATGAGACCAAGTGATGGGCTCAAGACAAGGAGATACAAGTACAGTTCACATGAATTGTTTCTGTCAGTGACCATTTCATTGTTATTCTAAAGCAAGGAATATAAAGTTGCAAACATGTCACTGTTAATTGTTGCCTACTTGTTGAAACTGCCCTCCCTCTATTTCCCGGGTCTGACCCTTTCTTGGATTCACTGCTCACTCTCTTTTGTGTTTATATTGTGCCTTAGGTTTTAGACTTCTTATGCTTCCACAAATGGCCTCCTCTCTAACTCCCAAACTTGGAATCCTGAATGTATGTCATTCCAGCCTGTTCAAAGTTTCTGTGCCTTGATTAGCATTGCTCTAGAATAGTATGGGTTGCTGCTACAGAGAAACAAATGGAAGTTTCAAATTCCCTTTAAAATGTAACTGTGAGGGTGATGCTATAGAGCCAGCAGACAGTTTTCCAAACCCTTGTACAATTCACAGATACAGTCAGTCCTGGAAAACGGATACCTGAAGTACAGCTGTTGGGACAGTTCCATCCTCAGGGGCTACGGTGGGATGCAGGGATGGATGTCCCCTGCACAGACAGCTATGGACACGCGCTCTTGCATAGACTTGGATTGTTGAGAAAGGTGGTAAAAATTCTTCTTCTCTCTCTTTAAAATATTAGCAATAGTAAAGAGGGGGAAATGATTTTATTTTGCTTAATTTTAAACTATGTTAGTGAAATTCTGAGTGCTAGGTTAGCATATACAGATAAAAACGTGTGGTCATGCCTAGATTTATATTGACTTAAATTTTTGTCTCTATCCTACAATAGGCATTATGTAATTTTTGAAACTGGTAGCACAAAGCAAAGCCTATGAAATATGAGATTCTTAGCTAAAACTCACAACACTGACATATATACTGAAGATTCTTCCTAGCAGAACCTTCAAAAAACCACCTGATATATTTTGAATATCTTTCCTCATAGCATAAAATCGTTTCTTTCAAGCAAAGAATTAAGAAAAGTTAAAAAAGAAGGAAACTTCCCTATCGTTACTTCCTCTAAAATATGCCTGGTAGCACCACTAGTGAGAGGTTGCTCGTCAAACTGGCCAGTGTTCTGAGATCATTTATAAAGCGCATTGGATGCATTCATCATAACAGTTATCATTGATTTCCTTACCAAAGGCCATATTTATATAATATTTTACAACACTCATAACTAGTGTGTGTGTGTGTGTATCTGTGTCTGTGTAGGTGCACCTGTGTTCATGTGTCTGCGGAGGCTAGAGGTGAATCGTGGTTGTCATTCATTTGTTCTTTTGGAAAAGGGTCTTTTGTTGGCGTGGAGCTCACCAAAGTATTCTCAGCTGACTGCCTGGCAAGCCCTAGAGGTCTGCCTGTATCTCCCTCCCCGAGCTTGAGATGACAAGCATGTGCCACCACACCCAGCCTTTTCATGTGGACTCTGGGGATTGAACTCAAGTCCTTGTGCTTGCACAGTGTGTACACCAGCTACGATACCTTTCCAGCCCCGTATGGGCTTTTAAAATGAGGACATACACCAATGTAGCCAATGAAGAAATAAAGAGTGTGTTGCGTGCGTGAGTGCGTGTGTGTGTGTGTGTGTGTGTGTGTGTGTGTGTGAGTGTGCGTGCGTGTGTTAGGATCTTGGCCAACACTCTGCATTGGGAAGAGTTGCTGGCACTGGGCTTAGACAGACCACTAAAAAGCCAGCTGGACCGCCACTGCTAACATTTCACTCCGATATCTCTTCAGAATCCCCAAGAGATTTCTTTTAATTCCTTTAATACCCACCTTATAAATAAATGAAAAATAAAAATAGTCAGGATTTGAAAGATGTTTCATGTCCTGGTTAGTTTATCTAGAGTCATCTGGGAAGAACTTCAATTGAGAAAAATGCCTCCATTAGATCGCTTGTAAGCACATCTGTGTGCACTTTTTGGGATTGATGTTTGATCGGGGAAGGGGAGGCTGTGAGCCTACTATGGGTGATGCCACCCCTAGGCTGGTGGTCCTAGGTGATATTAGAAAACAGACTAATCAAGTCACAGGTGCAAGCCAGTAACCAGGATACCCTTGTGGCTTCTTCAGTTCCTGCATCCAGATGTCTGTCTGTGGTTCCTGCCTTGGTTTCCCTCAGTGGATTCTGACCTGAAATATTTAAGTCAAATAGCCTTTCTTCCATGCACTGCTTTTGGTCATGGGATTTATCACAGCAACAGAGAGAAATGAAGAAACTCAGAAAATGCAAAATGTTTAAATTCTACTAAACAGGGGTATGTATCCAAGTCTCCTTGAATTACCAGGACCTGAGGATTCTGTAGGTTCTACCAGAGTATGTTATAAAACTAAGAGTATCCTGAAGCTAATAAATTTCTCTCTAAAAACGATTTTCTGTTTCTTCTGGTATTAACCCTCTGGCCCAATTAAAATTTTTTATGTTTAAAGGTTTTTTCCTGTCATATGGTCATCTGAAAAGTGTTGTTATAATTCTCAGTTGCTTTCAGCCAGGAGTGACTTTGCTTACCAGGTGACTTTTGGAAATCTAGAGACAAGTTCCTGTAGTCACAGCCTTGAAGCAGATCCTACTGGAACCCTGCTGGTTGAGGTATGCCACCAACAATGCGCAGGGCAGCCTCCAACAGTAACTAAGCATCTGATCTGCAATGTCAGTGTGTTGATATTGAAAAACTCTGGTTAAAGTGATGTCACTTTCATTGGTAGTAGGGGCTCCATAGCCCTGATATGTTCCATATGTGTCATTATAAGAGTGGGGTGCCATAAATGAGCACAACGCCCTGTTGCCTGTTGCCGTCCACCATGTCTACCATAGCTCACTATGGCCAGGCTTAAGCCCACTGAAGCGCAGGCACCTGTATATCCTCAAAGTACAACCTAGGACAAAGGTAAGAAAGTCTACTTGACTGGATTGTGAGCTTCAGGAGGACAGAAATGGTTCAGAAGCAGCTATGTAAGCTCCCAGGGCAGAAAAACAATTAATCATCCTACCTGGATGTAAAGCCTATGAACCACAATGGTCAACGTGGAAAGATATTCTGAGAGGTGCAATAGTGGTACTGACATTCTGGGGTAACCAACCTCCATCTAATTGTACTCTGGAACCCCTCAAACAAGAGAGAATTCATGTCTGGAACTGTAACAATAACCGACTAGGTGAGATCATGGAACATAGAAAAAAATCTAGTACTGCCTCTTTCTCACAGCGGTATAGTATCTAACTGCATTCTAAATACGTAGCCTCTACACAGGTAAGTGTAGCTTCACCCTTCATTAAAGAAGCTTCTTTTTTCAATAGATGGAGACCAGCACGGAAAACCACAACTGCTCAAAATGGAAGGAACAGTTGACCGTGGGTGTCGTCCCCAGCAGATATATCTACCCCACAGCTCCTGCATCTAAGGCTCAGGGAACATAGTGAAAGAGACAACAGAAAGATGGTATGAGCCAGGGGATCAGGACATCTGTTTCAAGATAATCTCTTCTCAAAAATTAAAAAGACACAATATTGAAGGGAGCAGGAAAAGAAGGAGAGGGTGGATCGGGGAGAGTTTGGGGAAAATTAATTAATATTACAAAAATATGTCATATGTAATTCTTAAAGAATTGACAAAATACACTACTTTTAAAAACAGTTTTTTGGTTGTTAACCTATAAGAGGTCACAAAACTTGGAACTGTTCATCCAGATCAATTCCGCATCATGTTCTTCTAAGAAAGAATTACAGCAAAGGAAAGGGCTGTTGATTCTCAGGCTGAATGGATGTTATTTACCAAACAGAATGGCAATTCATCTTGGGAGCAGATTAATATACAAAGTTTTCTCTTTAGCCTTTCATAGGGCATTTTCTATTTAACCAAAAATACTTTAATAAAGTGATTTAATAAATGTTCTAAATGACAAATTAGGTTCCAGATGGGCAGGATTAACTAGAATGTAGCAAAGGTATTCACGAAGTAAGTTCTTAGGCAAAACACTTCCAAGTTTGCTCATATAACTCCACTAAAATCCCCATTTTTTAGACAACCTGCAGCTTCTCCAACCACAACCACATGCAAATGTAGGATCTAATTGCTTCTCGGTGTCTCTAGGGACACAGTCTACTTAGTCTTAGCTGACAGCGGTATATTTTAAGCTCCATGCTAATCCCCTTCACCACTCCTGCGACTGGGGAGAACTCTTCCGCCTTGTTCCTAGCACTCCAATCACAGGAAAGGGAG